GCCCAAACCTGCCAAATTGAAGGCTACTTCAATTTGACCACTTCAGGCTGGCCAAAAAAAGTTAAAACATACAGAAAACCAACCTCTTTTCCTTACCTCACCTGCACACCTGAGAGCTCCCCCTGTGCAGCACCAAGCCCTGTCCCTTTGCACAGGGCTGCAAGGGGAACCCCAGAATTGGGGGGAGCTGCTGGAAGAACCTCCTCCAGTAACTGGGGTCCTCCAAGGTGGCTCATGTCAGGAGCATCACTAGAGGTACAGCAGCTTCTCAATGAGAAATGGGATTAATTTTAATTCCTCTATCCAGGCCTCCTCTCTGCCCTTAGTTGTGAGAACTTAAAAAAATCAGATATTTTCAGCTTTTAGTTTTCAGTTCATGGGTGTTTCAAAATGCTTGGATAGTTTCCCTGAGGAAAGCCTAGGAAAGCTCTAGAACAACTCAAATAGTCTTATTCATTGCAGAGTCCCCAAAGGATGCCAAATTTAAACTGAATTCCTGCTTGGAGAGGAAATGAAAACAGAGAGGAAGGGGTTTGGAGGATCAGAGGGTTTTTAATTAGTTTGTGGTGGAGACAGTGGAATTAAGTGCTGTAATACTCTGGTGCCTCTCTGTACATTGTTCTCTCCAGGGTCAGCTCTGTGAATCTGCTGAGTGACAGAAGGAAAGGGTAACCTTATTGCTTCCTTCTCCCATGTTCTAGTCTCCAACCAGCACAGCACTGTTAAATTCTACTTTTACCTCTCCCTCTTTTTGACTTTACAAGAGCTCTGTCCCAACACAGAAGGGAAGAGAAATGACAATTAGATCATGTACATATCTCACTTCTGGACTCCTCCAGCAGTACTGCAGCTGCCAGGCCAGGTTGCTCTGGTTTGTTGAGTATTTAATTCAGCAATGACCTACTCCATCTTTTATATAAAAGAAACCACCTGAATCACAGCAGCTTTTCTGTATTCTGTCTCCAACAGTCAGCTGGTTATGGCTCCTGCAGCACTGGCTGGACACAGCAGCTGCAGATGCTCCTTTTCCCCAAATGAAACACGGACAACAAGTTTTCAGCGCTTGTTTTCCAGATACTGCTTTTACATAGAAAATGGGCTAAAGAACATAAAGTTGAGCAAACTTCCTATCAGCATAATGCCAGGCATTTAGAAAACTGACTTGACCTAGTTTCTGATTTGCAGAATCAAGTAGTGACTTGCAGTTTAATATATGAAAAAAAAAATCCTTAATTAAAAAATTTTGTAGCACACATACTCCTTCCTTTCAATCTCATACTTGTATCATGCTGTGCATGCTGCTAATTCAAAAGGCTGATATGATCACAGACAGCCCAGCTTCTAGGATTTACCATTCAAACACACTTGAACTGGCATGAAAAATGCAATAAAATAATTCTTTCAGACAAGTTTAGAGAGAGGTATTCCCAAAAGACAGAATTCTGGCTTCCAGCCAGATAAAGCTTACACTTTGTCAATAACACAGTGAAGGAAGGCATGAATGAATTTTATTTCATTGGACAAGTGACTTGGAATACAGATAAGGCAGGGTGAGCATATAAACCTTTAAATAAATGTTTTAGCACTATCTGGAAGGGAGGAATGCAATTGATTCCAATCTTTTCTGACAGAAAATCAGTTCCTCTAAAGCTCTTGGGGCAACAAACACTAACTAAAAGGGTCTGTTACTAATAAAATCTTTAAGTACAACAAAACAAGATGTTGTCGTTTGAAATTAATAAGCCACAATTAATGCAAATTATTACTCTGTAGTTTAATTGAAATATTAAACTGTGATATGAGGTCTTTGTTTTACTATGACTTTAAGAACCATGTAACTTTGAAGAGGGATCTTTAAAGAGCTTGAGGAAAACCCAGCAGAGCAATAGCTGACAAAGCCCCCCGACAAAACAGTGCAAACAGCAGCAGGAGGAATTCCAAACACTCTGTCGTGCTCTGCTGGGGTTTCTCTCTAATAAGCACAACTGTGGTACCTGGAACTGCTACAAACAGTTAATAGAAAACACTGATCTCTGGTTATGCCCCACATTCTTTGTTCTGTTTTGTGGGGGTTACCTCATGCAAAGTTGTTTTGTGGAAAATCTTGACCTTTTCCTCCCTCTCTGCCTGTTTAACATGAACCTTGTTTTATTCTCTGCAGTGGTACAACAAGCTGGATCAGTAAAAACTGCTGTTATAATTCTGGTTTTGCTTTGCAAAGACGTGTTATGTGTCAGAATGAAGGGGGGCATTTAGTGTTTTAGGAGAGCCACGTTTGAAATTTCTACAAGAGAAATCCACTGCAAGTGGCAATTTCTTTTACATTATAAATCTAACTCAAACCAGTATATGGAGGTTCGGTTTTATTTGCAAAACCACAGGTTGATAAAATTTACAAGTAACACTCAACATTATTATCTTGGGGGCTGAGGATGGCTGGTATGGCTCAAAGAAGGGACTGTACTCAGTCACAACCCGAATTTCAAATGAAATGGTACCTCATTCCCACTGCCAATCCCATACCAGCTCAAGGGAGTCACTATATTTTTAGTATTAAATGGTTTTTTCCTAATGCTTTCCATAACGGAAGCAAAAATTGCAGAATAGAAAAAAAGGTCTCGTGTTTGTACAAAGTACATTCAGTGGCTGCATTAATGTTTTAGCCTAAAACATGTAGTAGCAGTAGTACTACTACAGTAGTAATCTGTATTAGTTGGTAGAAAACACTTTTTACCTTGAATTTGCTTTCAGGTTACTTCTTACTGAAAGAGACCTTTTCAGATTAAGTCAGATAACACAGTTAATAGAACAGAAAAAATCACACAACTCCAGGTACACGTGCTTGCAATTGTTATTACCTAATAAGGAGCACTCAGGGTCTGTTTCTGTGCCTTCCCAGCCCATAAATCACAGAATTCCAGGATCCTAACTTCTGCCTTTTCATCTTAATTGTTATTTTTATTTTTATAAATAACTATATTTATTTTTATGAATAACTATATTTATTTTTATAAATAACTATTCAACCTTCAGACTTTGGCCCTGTACAAACTAAAAACACAAGTGGTGACCTCAAGATTTAGAAATAGAAAATTGTATCTCTATTTTCATAATTCTACAGTGAGAGAGGCAATAGAATCTATTTCACTATCTTGTTACAGACATAAACCTCCAACACTCAAGGTAGCTATTTCTGAAGGGGCTGCCTTTCAGTTTTGCCAAAGAAAGCATTCAGCAACTGCATGGAAAAAAAAAATCAAGTGTTAAACAATGGCCAACATTTTCCTTGCAGCTGATGGATGACTCTGTGTGGTAATCGATACTTCTGCACTGTTGAACCCAAAATAATTGCATAAAATCTCCAGAGCTCAAAACTTGTCTCAGAAGCCTCTAAGAAATACATCCTAGAACTCTTAGCACCAGCAAAGGGTGCAATACAGGAACACAGCCCTTTGCACTCTCCCCTCTGAACTGCTTATTTCTGGTAACAGGCTCCATATGTGTATGTTTCGAATAAATTTCTGGTTTTGAATGACACTAAAAAGTGCAAGTCTACATTCTGCAGTGAGGTATCCTGATAGTCAAATCTATGAAAGAAACGTTCTTGTACTTAGGAAACATTTTTAAACAAGCATTTTAACATTCCATCAACATGAACAGAATTTCCTGCCTTGTGACAAAGTGCTTCATATTTAAAGTCCTGAAAATGTTTCCAGATAATTTCTTTCGTATTTTCTGTCTTTAGGGAAACCTTTCAAAAAGTTCTTCTTGATTTCAAATACATAGAGATACCAAACTTTGCTAACTAATTTTCATCCAGCTCTAATGACTGCAGATCCCAGCAGTGGGCAGCAGGGATTTTTGTTTTATACAAAAGCTGTTCAACTAACTACTGATTCTATAGACAGTGCTGACACTGTGCAACTTTAAAAATCTCTTACCTTCTGGGGAATTGCTTAAATAATGAGAAGTTACTGATTGACATACCACGGAAAACTTTCAATGGAGTAATTTGACAAGCATTTCTATCTTCAGCTGAAGGCTACTTTTCTTTTGTTAAATATAATTTCCAAATAAAGTTTTCCTTAGTGCTGAAGAGTAGGCTAGTTGTGCCTCAGTAAAGAGCTGGCTGTGACAAATGACTGGATGAAGCAGTAATCTCAAAGATGACTTGAACAAAAAGTCACATAAAAAAAGATACCAATTATTGTAATTATAAACCCAGAAGAACAGTGTGACTTTCTCCATATGCCAGAACATACAAGTCTTTTGAAGTTATAAAAACTCTTTTAAAGCACTTTTAAGCATTTAGGGGCTCTTTTAAAGAACTCCCTTCTTATTAGAAAGACAGGCAGCTTGGAGCTCCAGGTCAAGGGAGGTGTGTTTGGCAATTTAAATAAGCTCCTGTGTACTCTGAGGACGTGTGTCGTGTCCTTAGAGCTGACCCAGCAGCAGATGTGGCCTCACAGCTGGATGGCCCAGCACTAGCACCAGTTAGCAAAGGTTGCCCACAGCCACACTGCACAGAACTTGGCCTTTGTGCTCTCTAAGGCCCTTACAGCCCTGAAACTTCCTTTTCCTTTTTGTTTTTGTTTCAAACCAGTGGTGTGTTCACAGCGTGGTACAGGGAGCACACTCAGGATAGCACATGGGGACACTAAACAGTGAGCAACTACCTGGTATGGTAGCAAAGAACTGTCCTGGATGGAAGAACCACGGTAGTGTTGGATACATCCATATTTTCTGGGTAGAGCTTACAACAAACTCCCTTTAAAAACAGGTTTATATTTTCCTCTAGGACTAACTGGGGCTCACTCCAGAGGGCAGTATGGAAGTGAACCCATGTACTTGCAGTATGGAAAACTGTCCTACAGCAAAGCAGGGAGACGAGGAAGACTTTGCCTTCCATTCCTCCATTGGAGGCATCTTCCTTAACTTGCTGTATCATCTCTTTCATTTCACATCACTGCAGTACTTCCTCTGATTCCCTGTCCTCCTCCTGTTCTGATGACATCCTTTGCCAGCAAGGAAGCTTGTGATACTGATTTTTCCAAATACAGCTAGTTGAAAATATTAAATGAATGCAAATCAAGCATTTGTGCATACACAGAGGGACGAATTTGGTTTTGATCAACTGAAGCTTTTTTCCAAATGTTGTCTCAAGACATTTCTGCTGACTTCCTAAAATAATTAAAGCTTGCAGTGAGGGAGTTTTATTGTTTGGGTTTTTTTTCCTAGCTGTATCAAATAGTGAGGAAAAGCACCATTAAGATTTCAACATATCCAATTGTGCTTGCTTTCCTAAAAACTAAACCAAACTGTTAAATTTCTTGTCAACAGGCAATGATTTTCGTGGATGACCCTGAGTCACTGCACCTGTAAGTCTTTAAATAGCTCCACTTTCAGCTGCGACAGCTTCCAGGAGTAATTAATCCTGAACATGCTGTTTCACAAAAATGACTAGGTGATTTTAGAGCTGTGTTTTCCCTATAGTGAAAATGCCAGGTTATTACCACATCAAGCTGGCTGTCATTCCCAGCTGCCTTCATGGAGCCAAGTGGGATGCACAACTGCAAGGGAATCACTTTGCTTCCCTTGGAGCTGGGGAACAGCACTAAATCAGCGGGCTCAGTGCTGCTAGAAAGAAGGATTCTGAGAGCACCATCTGTTCCTAGGCAGATCAGTGGGATGATTTCGGTGTGTAATCCACACTGTCATCCCTCGAGTGTGTAAAGTACCAGGCTTGTGCCAGCTCCCCCAGAGCACTGCCCCACACTGCTCCTGCTGCTTTCCCTCCCTGCTGAGCACAGCAGGCTTGGGCTGAGCTCCCCCTCTGTAAGAGGGCAGTGGCACTCTGAGTTCAGTCTTCAGTGCAGTCCAACACAGGGAGCAAAGTCAAATGAGCGTGGATACAAGCACACTGCATGTCTCCCTAACACAGCCTTGGGCACAGAAGTGGTGTTATACAAACTGTGATGTTCTCAGCACAGTGTAAAGCAGTTGTACCTTGGAGGCACAGTTCTTACTTTCCTTCCTGTCCCACAGAGCAGCCGTGGCTGGCACAGACAGTCAGTCTGACCCCACTGGCCTCTTCCTCCGTGTGTTGCCTCTCGACAGGGGTAAGGCCAAGGCTCGTCCATTGCTGTGCTCCAAGGCAAATGAACCAATTTCCTGTTATTCTGCACATTCAAGAAAGAAAAAGGCAAATTAACACAATACAAGGCTAGAAAAGCAAGGAGAAGAAAGTTTGCTGAGTGATCTTAAGCAAGACAGTGGTGTGCTACGCTGTCCACCCTCGTCTCTGCAGCACCACCAGCAGCAGGTGCTCCCTCTGATGTGGTTCACCTTGAAGGACACTGCAGGAAGATTTCATCCTAGAGAAATACCATGCAGATGGATTTGAGTCAAGATTTTTAGCATTTGAAATGAGCAACGGAAGGTGATTTCTATTCCTGACTCTGGCACTGACCCACTGTCTGTCTACTCAGCTCATTTTTCCGTGGTCCCAAACTATCAATCCAGAAGTTCTGCCCATTGACTGTCAGGGCAGCATCAGCTCTTGGTAGGGAGCAGTTACTCCAATCACACTGGGAAATGTTTTTAATCGTATAAAAACCAAGGTATGAGACATAAAGCATTGCATTATGTGTTAAATACAGCTTTAATAGAAATATTTTGTTGTAATTTGCCTTGCCTGACTTTTATTTCACATACAATAAGAAATTGAAACAATTCACTAGAATCAAAGTGATGATTACAACATAACTTTAAACCCTAATTATATTTTGCTTTGTGGACGGTGAGTGTGAGGAAGGAAACATATAAATCACACACTAACTGGTTAACACATTTGAAGCACTCGATACTAAATCAGTGAGGCCTCATTTACTTCTAGTCTTAATTCCAGCATCCCCCCAAGGACCAAATAAATGTAAAACCTGGCTTTGCTGCAGTAATTTATTCTACTTGTTGAAAAGTCTTACAACAGGGTGTGTGATTCCAATAGTGAAAGAGAAAAGTAATTATGTACCTTAAGAATGAAAACTTCCTGTGCTTCAGAAGCATTTCACTTTGACTTGTATTTGTTCTCTCATGAGTAACTCTTACAACTGAAGGTGGAGCCTAAATTGATATTAAATATTACTTTATGTTTAGCAAGGGCAACAAGTCAATACCATTTTAAAAACAAAATAATACTGACAAAAGCCTATCAGCAGAGTGAACCAGGAGTTGGGACATCCCAAGTGAAATCCAAGCATTAATTAGAGTCATTGCTGACTAAGAGAAATTCATCTAAAGAAAGGAGGCTACAGACAAGAAATCTGTTTCCACAACACAGGATTTTTTGTATTTTTTCTGGTCAGCTGAACTTATTATTTGAAGAGGTTTCCTATTTTAACGCCTCATCATGTTGATAATATTAACTAGCAAATATAAGAAGATCTTGTTTTCAAAGCCATGCTCACTGATTGACACTAGGATATTTTATTTTATATTAGTAACAATTTTACAGTAAACACTGGGACATTAGCATACAGCTACTGTAATTTACAGGAGAAACTAGCACAACATTTGACAGGGCTTTGGGTCATTACTCTGCACCTGCAACACTGCTCTGACAAAGGACAGGATACTGTGTGATGGAAATTAAAGCCTCAAAACACAGAACCCATATGTGTTACCACAGGAAAAAAATGGTGGCAAGCTGAGGGTGTTTTGTATGAGGTCATCATTTTTGTTTACTGTATCTGTTAAATTATTTAGGAAACCCCTACTTAGTTTATTTTTTAAACAATATATTCCATGCCTTGATGTAATTTTTTTTCTTTGTGCAAAAGAACCTGTATTCAAAGCCAGAATTTAAGCACAGGCAGTGTTAAATATGAGTGTGTGGATTTGGGGATTTTGTTTGCTTGAGTTTTTAAAAGAAAAACTTTCAATATTTTTGAATAGGCAACTTCGTAGAAACCAGTAGTGACCAGGAGCAATAGTCTGAGCAGACAGCGTTGCTTGTTTTTCAGAGGGACTTTTTCATAACCTGAATGTGGTTCTTATAGCTACTTAGCTCATAAAATCAGATATGGTAGTCCTCAAGATTTCAGTTCTTTGTGACAGACAGCAGAGAGCATACAAAATCTACCTAACTGCATTTCTGCTAATTTTTTTTGTAGGTAGCATTCCTGTTTGTGTATTAGACACAGACATCAGTCCCAGAGTCACACTGCTTTCCCTGCCTGCCCTTTGCCTCAACTCAGGTGAATATAGTTTTCCTCCTTCCCTGTGTATATCACAGAAAGCCACCCAAATACTTCAAAGTAACACATATTCCTTGTTACCTCCAGTTAAAGATGGTAAAATCAGGAAAAAACCTTTCCCCCAGAGGCTGGTTGGGCACTGCCCAGGCTCCCCAGGGCAGTGGTCACGGCCCCAAGGCTGCCAGAGTTCAGGGAGGGTTTGGAGAACACTTTCAGGGACAGGGTGGGATTGTTGGGGTGTCTGTGCAGGGCCAGGAGTTGGACTTGATGATTCTGATGGGTCCCTTCCAGCTCAGGATATTCTATGATTCCATGTTCTTCATGATCAATGAGCTGACTGCTTCACCCCATAACCAACAATTAGCTCTGGTTATAACCCACCAACAGTTTACCTAGAATGAAATTAAGTTTTCATTAAACTGCAAGGTGAAGGCAACTCGCCAACTTCTGAGTGGTTCCTCTTTTAACTGAGCAGATCTAATTTCAGATTTCTTCAAAGTTCAATCCTTCATGTCCTCTCCACAGGAGTAAACCCTCATCCCTCATAAGGCCACTGTTCTCCTTCATAGCTCCTGTGCTAAGTGACCTCTCTGTCCCCATTGCCTGCTGCTGATGTAGTGAGCAGAGTTTAAAACCGAACACAACTTGCTGGTTCCCTTTTGGGCACCACCATCACACACACAGATACACCCTGAGCCAGTTCTGAGACCTGATCCAGCTGAGTCGGAGTATTACCAAAAGCTGTTTTAGCTGCAGCCACGCAGAGGAGCACCAGAGCCCCAGGAGCAGGCTGGGAGAGCAGGGCAGGACAACAACAGCCTGGATTTAGATCGGCTTAACTCATAACAGGATTAAATCCCAGCATCAAAAGACACAAACTGGTAGGATTTAAAAGAATACGACACTTACTGTGTGCAATTCTGAGAATGACTTTACCATGTCATTTTTTCTGTGTGAAGGGGCCTCTCAGATCTCTGTCACTTCTTTATCAGGGCTTGGGATTTAGTGCCTTTTGGAAAAGAGTGTCAGTGCCAATCAGGTAAATCAGTGAGCCCTGCCTAATTCTAGTGCAGGGCACCATTCCTGCATCTTACTGTTCATGTGCAGTCGAACCAAAGCCTGGGATTGTGGGCTAGAGCCTGACCCTTTCCTCTCCATGCTTTACTCAATATAGTGCCACCTTTTTATCTGATAACCTTGGCTCTCCACATGCTCCAGCTCTGTCCAGATAACCTCACTGACAGACATGCTGAGGAAACATCTCTCCAGTTCCTATTTCTTTGATGTAGTACCTGGATGACAGAAGATCCTCTGAGCTGTCTGGATCAATCAAGACAGAAATATTAAAAAACTCTAGAGAACTTTGTCCAAAGAAGTCAAGTGAAGAAATGTAGCTGTAATGTAAACACACCCACATGAGGGAGCAGCTGGGAGAGGCTGAGGATCACAGTTTGGAGCTTTGTGCCCCAATTTAAATTCTGTTCTGATCTGGATCTGGCCAGAGCACTTTAGCTGATACATCTGTGTTTGAGTAGTAAGTGTTAGAATATGTGGGATTCAACACAAGTTCACATAATTTCAGCTCAGACTCAGGTCTTGCTGAAACATCATTGACTGCACACACTGAGAAACAAGACCCACAGAGTATGGCAGATGTAATGAGAATTAAGCGTGGGCAGCTATAACCAAAGACCAGTGAAGTTCCAAACACTGACCACAGTCATTCAAGAGAAAATACTCAAACCATGAAGCAATGTACACATGCAGTTAGAAGCAGTTTTTCATTGAAAAATTACTTCAGATGTCCCGTTTTCATTAGATACTCATCTTTCTTCTTTACATATATAAAACTTGGACAAATGACCGTAGAATAAAATGAGTTCTCTGTAAAGGAAGCACTTTTGAGGGCTGAATTTGCATTTGCCTTTTCTGAGGTTGCCACTAAAACTTTTTGATCCTCCTAAACCTCAGCTTACCCAACTCTTCCCTGAACAGAGTTAATGGAAGGAATGGCAACACCCCTCCTCTGGTGATCTCTCCACACTGAAAATTCATGAGCAGGCCAGTTACACAGCATCCCTCTCCCCCTCACAGGCACACAGCCCTCTCATTTGTGAAGTTAATTTAGTGAGGTTAAATGACATGGTACATCTGACTACATTTTCTCACCTCCAGCTGGAGCCCAGTCAGGGTTCCCAGGTAAGGAAAGGAATACTCTCCCTGCCTTGCTTTCGTACCTGCTACAAAAAGGATTGCATTATCCTCCCCCCAGCCTCAATTACCAGGCTGTGGAAAGAACTCCAATTAAGTGGTTAGCCATAATGGCATGGCAGCCCTTCAGGAAACTGCCTATCTAAATAGAGATGTACGGAAGGCAGTTTTCTCTCTAATAGTGATGCATTTTCAATTTATGCAATACAAAGTGCATTGGTCTGCAGTGTCCCTGGCTACTGATGATTAATAGCCCATACACTGCAAGGGGCTACAAAGAAAAGTGCCAAGGGAAGCAGATGCAGCGGGTTTTATATTATCATGACTGCAACAAACTCATTCAGTGGTGTCAGCTCTGACTGCAGGATTCTGATTATGAAATATGATGCGTGTTGAATTTAATGGCTTTCTCTGCCCTTCTGGTGAGTTCACTGCTTTCCAATGTCATTTTGTGTTCTCATCTGAGTGGTAATAAAAGGAATATCATTGACTGTGCTAGCTCTGTAACCACTGTGTGTTTTACAATAAATTGTGTTTCAGGACCTTTCTACCCAGGAGAGTGTGCAGGGCCAGAAAGTAATATTCCCCAGTTCTCCAATATGAAGGCTTTCTGTGAGAGAAAGGAAATTATGCAGGACTGCCCTTCTCTTGAGGCATTCCTTATGTGAGCAGGACATCACTTTTTCAAGTGGTTATATAGTAAAAAGATCTGTTTGGATTGCAAATAATAAAAAAAAATCCAAATAAACAGCTACTGCTACAGAGCAGAAATTATGATACCTTGATGACCAGAGGATAAAAGTTGTTTAAAATAAAATGTAAATAAGGAAGCTGGGCATACATGGTGTCACCCGTGTAGGAACATAAAGTCAGGCGAGACATCTAAATGGGGATTTCTTCATCCAGCAAGTCATTATTCTGTCCAACCTGTCAGTGAGCTGTGGCCTGCACCACCGGGTCAAGATCTTACTTGCTGGAGAGATACAGGTGTAGCTATGAAATCCTCTAATACCTGCAAAGTCATTATATTGGTTTCTCAAATAAAATAAGCTTTGCAGAAGTGCATTATGTCAGTGTCAGTGTTGAAGGGTGCACACCAGACTTCTTCATGCTGCCAACCAACACTGACCAAGCTGGGATGGCTCTATCCCAGCAGGAACAATAGAGATCTGTGCAGAGAGCAGAGACACAGTCTCAAAGCTGAGATATTTTGCCTTACATGAAGGAATTCCAGCGGTTCCATCCTCTTTGCCTGTATCCATCTCCTGCCTGTGTGAGCAACACCGGGGGCTCTGTCGCTCCCACAGCTGCATCAGTCAGGGATAAACAACGTAATAGATAAATAGAAAGAAACAGTCTGTGAGATTCTCAGATAAATCCACCTGTCTGATCCTTCACCTTGGAATCTACTGGAGCCAGCATGAAACACTACAGAAACAGCTGGATCAGTGTTTGCATGAGCTGGAACACAAGTCCTGTCATGTAGACAGGGTGAGACACAACCACATTGTTCCTCTTTTGACCATGAAGAGGCACATATCAAAGCTTGCTCACTTTTGCACTTCACAGTTTCATGACTGGCCAAATCTAGAGAGCAGCAGTGAAACAGGAAGAGGTGCTTCCCATGAGGAGCAAAACCATCTCCACTGAGGCAGGAAGCGCCTGACACACAAATATTATTTTTCTCTTTGTAAATGCACATTCTGAAGTTCACCTGCACTGTTTTCTTAACTACAGCCCCCTCTGATGGAGTACTGCTGTTTCTAGAAACATAAGAAATGTTTTTCCAAGGAGGATGACAGAAAGTTATGCACGTACATTTCAGTTCACTACAGTCTGAATCCAGGGCTGGGACTAAAAGTGATGAAACCAAACTGCAGAGGCTGTTCCTAAGAATTTACACTTAAGGTGGAAACTCACCTTTACAGAAGTAAAGAAGTACGTTTTTCTGGTTTTTTGGAAAAAAAAAGATCACCACCAAACCAGGACACAGTCCCATTACCACCACAGAGAGGTGCACATGGCCACATACAGCCAGCACTGCCCCAGCTGAACTCTGCCTTTATCTTAGTGAGTTTGCATTCAGCAGTTCAATTGTATCCCACACCACTTCATCTATTAGGTTTTCATAAAGAACCTAGGAATGAAACTTCCACTTTTAGGATAAACCAGAACGTTTTTAACCTTGTTTTTGTGTCTAGTTGAAATGTCACTGGTATTCTCAATCATATTTTATACATGAACACTTAAAAAGCTTTGCCTAGAGGATAAATGAGAATTGTCTTTTGTCCTTTCAGACTATACTTCATATATTTTCACATAAAAATGTACTGAAACAAGATTTAAAACTGTTATACATTTCATTGAAATCTACCTCCAGAGGGAGAAAAAAGCATGTTAACATTTAACATGGTGGTTTTGTCTTTCTCCCTGTTTGCTGAAAAACTTGCAACAGTTGAAGGGTAGAAATGTCAGGCAGAAATTGTGATCTGCCTCAAAATTAAATTATATATTGCCATAACACAACAGAGCCTTTGTCCTTTCTGGAATTCTCAGTTTCAGTAGAGAATCATCAAAGGGGGTAAAAATGCCCAGATGAAGAGAAAATAGAGAACAAAGGCCCCAGGAACATTATAATCAGCTTGACAAGCCAGTGGCGGTGTTGCCTGCTACAACCATCTTTTGATTTCCTCTGGAATGCAGGTACAAGCAGGTGCCTGTCTTGGGGCACAGCCCAGTGCAGGGACACAGGAACAGGCCACTGGTTCTTGGGCTGGAAACACAGAGAGGCCTCAGCTGTTGCAGGTGACTGAGGAACAAAGGAAATCTCCTGCAAAATGCAGACTATCCTCCCTCCTGCTGTGCCCGGTGCTGGTGTCTGCTGTTTACAAGCAGAGACATTGCAGGCGTCTCGGACCCGGCAGAGGCAGCTGGCACTGAAACAGCAGCCCTGACAGAAACTGCATCCTTGAGTCTCCTCTGCCCAACAGCCCATGACGTGCTGCGCTCAAATTTAGATGTCTACATGAACAGTGAGACCGATCCAGCACTGAGAGGGCCAGAGCGGGCCAAATGCATCCAAGATGTTCTTCCCAGGCCAGCAGCAACTCTGCACAGTGAAAGTTACCTCTGCAGGTCAAGGCAGGAGAGTTTCAGCCAGGTAAAGAAAGGTTTGGTATGACTAAGATAAAAGTCAGATGAGTTGTGCTGTACAGATGGGGGAAGGGAAGGAAGATGATCTACTCCCTGTGGTGCCCAGTACCAGGCACATTTCTTATTCTGAATATATTTCTTATGTTTGAAGTTGCAAATTTTGTCCTCAAGTTCAACAAAGCCTTTAAGCACCTGCCTTTTTGTGTTGACTTCAGTAGGGCCTCAGAGCAGCGTGTGTGTTTGAAACAGAGCAAGCCAATGTGTTTACATCCATCTTTCCGACCACTCACCACAACATCACCACAGGGCACACCTCACGTTCACACCAATCCCTAAAATCCTGTCTGAGCAGCTCTGGTGTCCCTGCACAGTGCATCCCTCGGTCTGGAAGCCTTTTGCTTCAGATGACTACAATTAGCCAGGTTTGTGGCCAAGCTCGGTGTTTCGGGAGCTCCTGTGCTCTCCCACCAGAAGCACGAGGCAAGGCTGGATTTCACCTGGAGTACCTGACTGCCAACAAGTGCTCCTTAGTAACACCCAAAGCCTCCACAGCCTTGCTGTATGATTTATGAGAGATTGTGATGGTGATACACATGAAATACCACATCACCAAGGGTGGTTTGCCAGTTTGGGCTGGAGAGAATTTTGTACCAGCTGTGTCTGTACAAGGGCACGTGCCAAGAATTGTTATTTTGTTATTTTTCCTTAAAGGCCATAACTGAAGTGCCCTGGTGGGAAACATGGAAATCCATCGACTTTCCTACAATTCATTAACAAAACCAACAAAGTTTCTTCCTTTTTTCTTTGTTAACATTAGATTTTCTCCTAAAATGTTGTTGTAACTGTTTAGAAAGACACAGCTACAAAACCTGACGGGCTTGAAGAGCAGTTCTAGAGTTTGCTCCTTACTAACAGCTGACATATTCAAATCTATCATTAGACTCTTTATAAAGGTACCCAGTGTCAGTTTGATGGTGGGGAAAGGAGTCCTATATTCAAGGAAACCCCCAAGATCTTTCCCAGTGCCCCTGGGGGAGCGGGGAACAGAGCAGGCGTTTTCTTCTCATTCCACCCCTCCCAACCATGGCTGTTTTAAACAGAGTGGGCACCTCCAGGCTCTAAAACTGAGATAGCAGGGCAGCCTCTCAGCTGTACAGGGCAGGGAAGATTAATATTCTTGGAGGTTTTCCTTAGTTACAGGAAGCCAGCACAAAGGCACTAATAACCTCTTCAAGTAGAGAACAATTTCTCATGGGGATAATAGCTCAAGGATAGAGCTTTTATACCAAGAAGTAACATTATCTTGTGTGAAAACTAACTGGTTTTGGCTCTTTAGTGCAGAACTAAGCCACCTTAGTTTTACCTGTGCATTTGCACCTGTGTAAGGAAAATTTTGAAATGTCAACAAAATATGTTTTAAGGAGTCTATCTTATGCCTCCTCTTTTGCATTTGTTTCATAACACAGAAATAGAAATTAAAGGCCTTCACTACAGTTCAGGCAGCTTGCCAGTACCTATTTTATAGCAATAAAATATGTACAAATTAAGGAATCTCATGTGGAAAATTCATTCAACAGCCTCAAAAGGCAAGTGAATGGTAATTACTTCAAACACAATGTGGTGGCAATCAGGCAAGATTGGATCATGCTATTAAATGTATGTCTAAATTTTTAAGAACCAAGATAATTATGAATTATGAAAATAACTCAGACAATGCAATACCAAGTACAGTGTTTGTGGAATAAGAGAGATCTTTAAGGAAAAGAGAAGACTTCATTCCAACACCTGCATAGAAATAACTGAAGGGCAAATATGGGGCTGATATTTTATTTCCTTACTTCTAGCCATCATTTTATACTTTAGGGTGGCTCACGGATGCCTTGAGGTATGGAGCAAGTGGAAGCATATAAAATAAAATTCAAGTAAAAGGATTTATCCTGCTTACTAAAAGCAATGACAGTTCTTTCTAGCTCACATTCACATGTATTGCAGTATAAAAACAAATTAGCCTTCTTAGTTCCTGTGCAAGTTTTCTTCAATCTGAAAAACAATTTCCATGCTCATCCACTTATGCAATGCCAGCTGAATAAAACCAGTTCATTTCCCACAGGTAAAGCTGAACAGAACTTCTGAAATAATTAACCACCAGAACAGCGTGCCTATAAGGGTATGGTTGAAATTCCCTCTATGAAATCTTTAGGACTACACATTTTGCTACAAACATGCCAAACCACAACCAGCTGTAAGAGGCTAGAAAACCTCTTGGATGATGCTCAGTGTCACACTGGTTGACAACAATAATGTTGTAGGTGAGCATGAAATCAAACATAGTAAGTACCAGGGGAGAAAGAGTTGAAGAGGGAAGTTCTCAAAGGCAGCTCGGCATCTGCCTCCCCTGGAAGAAAAATTAGGCCCCAGACTTTGCAAAATCTCTCCACAAGCATCCAGCACACTGGAGCCAACTGCATATTCATCACATGCCCAAGGATTCGAGCTCTGTTTTGCTGTGGATTATGTTGGAACATTTACAGGTTTCCCTTACTCAGATTCACTTTGCCCAAAGACATGCTCAAGGACTGAAGAGAGAATCTGCCACAGTAGAAGCCCATGACATTATGAATGGCACAAAAAAGTGAGTAAAGGAAGAAAAATGTTTACTTCGTTCAAGAAGAGCTCCGGGACACCAGTGACATTTCCAGCAGAAGAAATCAGATTTTGGAAGTCATTGCCACAAGATGCTGAGGGTGTAAAATAAAAACTTAAAGAGGGATTGGACACACATCACAGAGAATAAATTACTGTAAAACTTAACAGTGCTCATATAGCTTCTGGTACAGGAGAGCTGTGCTCCTCTCCTGGCTGGGAGCTGTGGGAGCCTTTCTGGGGAGAGCTCCCTCAGTTCCAGCCATCAGTCAGTGCGTGCACTGCATTTTCTGCAGTGTCAGCCCTGCAGGTCATGGCATTGCTGAGGTAACTCCACTCAAGACAGGGTACTCCAGGGAGGGATTCATCCAATGAAATCACTTTTGTCTGCAAGAACTCTAAGCCAGTTGTGCATTGTAACTCTATTCTAGTAGATGCAAGCTATAGTGCAGAGGGTGCATCAATAAAGCTCAGCCAGGAGAGCAGTAGATTCTCTAGAAACCACTCGTTA